ACTTCCCAAGCTCCTGTTGGGGGCTAAGAACCTGCTTATCTCCCTGAGCCTGGCCTTCAGAAGTCCATTCCATCACAGTCTCTCTTCCTTCCTTCTGGAAGATATATTATGTCTGTGTGCACATGGTAGAGTGTGTTCCTATAAAGTAGCTGAGACTGGAACACCATGCTTCTGGTCGTTATGTGGAACCCCAAAACTCTGACTCTGCATATAAATCCCACATATTTTGTAACATAACATTTGTAACAAAAATATGGGCTTAGCCCAGAGAGAGGTGACCTATCTAGGCTGGAATTTATACACGTCGTGATGCATTTGTTTTTATTTTAGTTTTAGCATCTTCTTTTCATAATTTCCCCCTTTGCTTCTTCTTTGTCTTTGGACTTTAACAAATCAAATACTGTAACAGAAATAATATATAATAATAGTGGAAAATATTTTTTCCTTTTATTGCAATGTTATAAACCTTGATACATTGCATTATTTCAAGGCAGATTTCAATGTAGTAATGTTTATGTGATATGATTAAAAATTACGAACATTCTATTATTTACAAAGCTTAAAGTATTGAAAATAAAAAGAGAAATGTAAACATTCTATCAGTATTAATTGCAACTGGATGTCAGCATTACAGAAATAAGATTATTTGACTTTTCATCCAAAGTATAACATAAAAAAGAACCACTGCAATTCACATCAAAGTATTAATTATATTAATTATATTAATTAATTAAATTAATTATTAATTAATTAATTAATTAATTCACAGGGAGGCAGTGAAGGACAGGAAGGCCTGGCGCAATATGGTTCATGGGGTCACGAAGAGTCAGACACGACTTAACGACTAAACAACAACAAACAACAATTAATTATATAATAGTAATTTCAGTCTTGAACTAATTGCTTAATATTGAGATCTCCATTTTTTTATTACGCACACACACACACACACACAGATGTTGATATGTTGATAAAGGAAATAAGAGATAGATGAAGCAAATTTAACAAAAATTAAAATACCTAAAAAGTAGGAAAAAAAGGAAATAACCATAATAACCATAATAATAATACAAAAAAACTATTGATTTCTGACTCTCCTCTTTTTGTACATTTCCTTATTTGCAGAATTTGTAAGCATTCAGGTCCCTTATAAACCATACTGTTAAGTGGTTATATTTATCAAGCTGCATGAAGTGTTCTATGTAAGGGAACATTCTTGCTTCAATTTAATAATAGAAAATATTTTGAAAAAACCACCCAGAATTCCTCAGCCAGCATTGCCACCTCAGGTTGCAAAAGGTGATTTATAATATTCATCCTCATTGGGTTCTGGAAACTAGCACTAAGCTCCAGAGAAGGGAAGAGACCCATTTGCTGGAAATTTGTTGAGGCGAAAAGCAGTTGAATCCCCTGCTCTGTCTTTGTGAACTTGGGAAGCAGGTGTTTCTTGTGACAACGTGCAGCCCTGTCCTGTATTTTTACGCTATTTCTCTTAAAAACACACCTTCATGCTATCAAAGCCCTTCTCCAGGTAATGCCCACTCTTTGACAAATCTCCCATTGTCACATAGTATTTGCTCCACCAATCAGTTTCTTCTTCTTCTTCTTCCTCCTCCTCTTCTGTCTGTCAAAAAAGAAAGAAAGAAATTTGGGCATGGTCCTCTCCATGTTTTCCAAATGGAATGATCTTTGCTTATATTTGGGCTTGCCCTCCTGAACCTCAGTTAAGATAAGACTTGCTCGCATTGACCTCATCTCCTAGTAACTTCAGGGACCCACCCCACATACATTTCTTGGTGGCAATACAGAAATTGTTTACTTTTTCCTTCTTTGGAGATGTTCCTTTCAGTTCCCACTTTAGCCTGCAGCTCAGGTATTTCTGCTGGTATCTCTGTCCAGTTTAACATAGCATAGTTAGCATAGTTGTTTTAAATTAGCCAAGATCAGCTAGATGTTGCCATCTGTTGTAAGCCAAGATTAATTGCATGGTCCCTAAAATAACTCCTTTGGTGGCTGTGCCTGCCTGATCTTGGTTGTTCTGAACAAAGTCTGGCAAGAGAGATTGGTACAATAAAAGGCAGGACATTTGCACCTGCCCTTGGCCACTTCATCATTTACAAAGAAGTGTGAAATCACTGTGCAATTTCCATGAGAATATCATTGAAATTCTCTTTTGTCAAATAGAATGACAACTGGTAGGGAAAAAATGCAGGCTATATTTTCTGCCCTTGTATAAATAGACACCCACATATTATATATTATATATTTGTCAGTCCCTTGTATAAATAGACACCCACATATTATATATTACATATTATATTTGAAATAAAGTCAAGAAACCCTCTCAAGCAATCAATTTAAGACCAAAAAAGAGTTGCAGATGGTAGTATGAATGTATGTTGCCATAGAAAGAGATGTACTGATATGGGCTTCCTATCTCAAGTGCCATCTTAACTTGGGGAAACATCTAACTTGCCCCCTTGATTTGGGGAGACCCCCCCTTGGCCCTTCCCTCTCAGGTAGCAAAATATCTTCAAGGAAAGCTTGGGTGGAAAAACCAGGCTGCACATTTGGGGAGATGTGCAAAGGCTTTGGAGGTTTTTGTCTCACCAAAAGGCAGCAGCGTTGAAGTGAAATCTGGACTCTGACCAGATCCTGACCTACCTTCTTCTCTTTTGGCTTCCTCCATGACCATAATTTGAAGATGGCCAGCCGCTGTAAGAAGCAGTAGAATTAATCTCTTCAGAAAATTCCATCAGTGGATCAGCCATCATGCTGTACTTTCTTCTTCTGGGGAATTCTGGGATTGATTAAGGACTTGAGGGTTGGGTTATGGTTAGTAAGGGCAATCTGAATCCCCAGGGAAAAAAACTGGTCCTTTGCTACTAATCCAATACACTTCTTACATGAGGAGGTCCATCCCTCTGTCCCTATTTATGGTACTTACACACCCCTTTAATGATGATAGAGTTTAAGCTGTACTACAATGCGCTACAATACAATAAATACAATAATACACTAGATCAGTGTACTATTAGCATGCTGGCTGGGGAATTCTGGGAGCTGAAGTCCACACATCTTAAAGTTGCCAAGTTTGAAGAACAGATACCCAAGCCATATACAACTTAAGAGCTGATAACCAGCACCTTGAACTAGTAACAAATGCGGATCCTGCCATACAGTATTGTTACACAATACCACGTCTGGCTCATTGTGGACAGTTACATTCCACACCAAGTGAAGCTTCCAGATAGCTTGCAAAGGCAGCTCCATGTAAAGTGAATTACAGCAATCCAATTGATAAGTGACAAAGGCATGGGTGACAATAGTCAGTGCCCCATTTTAGAAAAGGTTGCAACTGGTGCACTAGCCAAAGTGACGGAGCTTGTGTATCTCCATCCAGAGCATCTTCTTGACTCTGTACAGCAGAAGCCCTCCTGGCCATGGCATCTGAGCAGGACTGTTGTGTCCAGGACCACCACCCCTCCCTTGATTGTACAACTGCTCTTCTAGGGGTAGAGTCTTCAACTCCGTAAGAGTCAAAGCTGGAATTTCCTGGAAGAACATCACTGGAATAGCCACTCCGTTGTGGTTGGATGGCATTTGAACCTATTTCTCTCCATCCCATCCCTGATTGCCAGCAGACACTGGATTAGGATCTCCACTGCATTCCTACTTGGCCTGGAGATACACAATTGGCTATCCTCAACATATTGATGACAACCTCACCTGAGCTGATGGATGGCCTCCTCAAGCAGTTTCATGTACTGTAGGTGTTGAATGCAATGGGGAACAGAATCAAGTCCATAGTGGAGTGTCCAAAGACTGATCTCTTTTCTCCCATGACCAAAAATGGACTCTCCTGGTCAGGAAGGAGTTGGAACCACCATAAAAGTTAAGGTGGTATTAAAGATGCAAAAGCAGGGTGATGACCTTGTCACACCCTTTTGGCTGCTCCTTACCTAAAACACATATTGGGTAGGGTGGCTATCCAAGAAGCAGGTCTTCAAGAAAGGGCTGATAAGTGCAGTGAGTGCACCCACATCCCCTCCCCTCCAGATCACTTTTTCCACTTCAGATCTAAATGGCTGCACATCACTGAATCCCATATCTATGGTTGTTTCTCCAAACAAAGCTTGAAAACCACTGGATTATCAGACCAGATCCTAAGTGTCTAGCATACAGTTGTCCACCCTATATCTTATTGTGCATGGTTATTGATCACAATAAAGATTGTATACATGTAATTCTCTACCCTAGGTAGGAAATTGCCAAAGCCATAAGGCAGATGTCTTTTCTAAACTCCGCTACTAGAAATGCTAAATAATGGCCCCCCCTCACAAAGAAGAAAAGAAACAAAACGTTGACAAGATGACTATGACTCCAAACAATTGGTATACTTACCTTTTTTGTCTTCACCTTTTTAGTGACTGTTAGAGGAAAAAAAATACACTGAGAACACTCGTCAAAGTTTGAGCAGGAACAAAATTCACCATTTTTAGGAGGTGCAGTACAATGAGTGATCTCTTCTTGTCCTTCAGAAAGTTCAGAACGATTTTTGTGAGCCTCCAGTGGCCTCAGTTGGCTTCTTCTAGGCCAGTGTTTCTCAACCTTGGCAGCTTGAAGATGTGTGGACTTCAACTCCCAGAATACCCCAGCCAGCCTTAGTTTCTCTAGATCTGCAACAGAGCCCCCAGAACCTGGGCTGGCTGTGCCAATTCAGCTTCAGGAACTCATCTGAGTAACCTGAGTAGTCCAGGTACACGTAGGTGCCTCCAAAAGGCACTGAAAGGTAGAAGGAATCAGATTTAGCTGGAGAGATAATTAAGGCTAATTAAGCCACCCAACTCCCAATTCTGGGAATTGGAGTCCACACATCTTCAGGTTGCCAAGGTTGAGAAACCCTGATTCAGGGATTAGCAAGCAGTTGGTCTTAAAGTTCTCTCCAACTCTATGGTGGGATATATGAGGCTGTCTTCATATTGGTTTAGTTCACATGCTGTGCTAAGCCATGAAGTGGGTTACTTGGTTGTGGCTTAGATGCTGTGTGAACCCAATCCCACTGTGGTATGAAAAACTGACACTTCTTGCTCTAGGTGATTCCAGCTTCTGTCTTGGTTGCCAGTGTGTTTCCTGAATGTCTTTGACATCAGCAACATCTAGGAGACTAAAAGCAAAAGACAACCCAACATTTTAAAAAGGGTTAGCGGGGAAAGGATTAAGCACTCCATACCCAGCCTGTGGCATATCTGTATCATTCCTACGTCTATTTTGCAGCTGTTCTATAGAGTTGCAGCTTTACCCATTTCTATCCTAACTAGAAATGATCTGATGAATAAGTTATTGATAACTGACTTCTTGAGACATTTATCAAGTAGTGGATACCTCGGGGAGGTAGACTGTGGACTTTGCTTTCTTCCAGTGGATTGCAGTAGTATTGACTCAGAGATCTGATAGTTGCATGACCCACCATTGGCTTATATCCAAAATCTCGGTGATCAATCACCTTCATCTCAATGGGAGGGGAATAATCTTCATCAACCGGCAGGTACTGTAGGAAGTCAAGAGGGAAGAGGTAAGTTTTCCAAGGAAGCCCAGAAAGGGGCAATCCTTCTGAGATTACTCAGTTCATAACTTCTGATTACAGGTAGTAATCAGTAATCAAAACAATCCCGTAATTGGAATTGGAATTTCCATTGCTAAGTGATGCAGTCGTACGGGCCATGTCATGTGACTGCATCATTGAGTGACGGCAATCGTAACAGTCCCCATTGCCATTGTTAAGTGAAAATTGTGGGTCATTAAGCGAGGACCTCATGTGACTGTGACTTGCAACTTCCTGCCAGCTTCCCACAAGCAAAGTCAATGGGGAAGCCA